GGGGGAGAGAGAGAAATAGACAGAGAGAGGGGAGAAGAGAGAGAGGCAAAGTGAGAGAAAGAGAAGGAGGGAGGGAGGGAAAGAGAGAGAAAGTGGGAGGGAGGGAGAGAGAGAGAGAGAGAGAGAGAGAGGAAAAACCTCTCTCCACAGAACAGTTTCCTGGTGCCCCAAAGGTTGGGAGTCATTGAGTTGGGCTGTATTTGGATACAGATAGTCTTACAATCACAATTGGGACCGGAATTTCCGTTGCTAAACAAGGCGATTGTTAACCAGGTCGCCCGCCAATGTCACCAGGCCTAAGTCTATATGAAATTATTACTTTTTCTAATCACAGAAAGACGGGTTTTTGAAAGGCATGCATGTGGTAGCCAAGGAAATAACCTGCCCACTTAACTAATAATGTTTGTGTTAATTTCTGGCAGCAGCACAAAGCTTTCAAGAGGGCATTAGTCCACTAATGAAGATTTATAGAATGGAGCTTATTAAATGTGTGTGTGTGTGTGTGTGTGTGGGGGGGAGGGAGAGAGAGAGAGAGAGAACAGGAATACCCCTGAATCTTTGAGCCAGCTCAATGCCTTAAATGTGTTGGTGAAGCTTTCTTGAACAACAGACAACTAGAGAAACTGCAGGGCTGTAGACTAATTTAATTTAATTTAATTTAATTTATTAGTTTTATAGGCCGCTCAATCCCGGAGGACTAAACTGGAAAGAAGACAACTAATGCATGCCTTCAGGATTCAGATGGCACGAACAGAATAAAATAAACAGCGGATCAATATAGTAACTTACAATCGTCGAAAGAATATATTGGCAGGTTTTGCATTTCATAAATTAATCAATAAAAATAAATCAATATCAAATCAAATCTGGAAGAAGGATATGGCAAACAAACCCTGCAGAATATAAAATGTGGATATGTTTTGTTTTTCTACACCAAATCCAAAGAATCGGGCAACGACCGGAATCTAAATATTTATTGTTTTTTTATTTATTTAAATTGTCAAAAGGACCTGAAAAGATCCTGCCTTCATCCAAACCACAGAAACTCTCTGTGTCCTTCTTATAGCTTGATGGGTCAGCAGTGACATTTTGATGTCCCACACGATGTGTAACACTGAAGTGGTACAGCTGACATGTCAAATCTGGAAGTAGTGAATAGCAAACTTTCTTGTAGAATGGAAAGCGTGATTTTGTTTTTCTATACCAAATCAAAAGAATAAGGCAAAGACTGGAGTCCTTTTATTTGTTTGTTTGTTTATTTATTTATTTATTTATTTAGAATTATGCAATCTTTTTCTTCAAAATTCAAGGCTGCTGGAATTTAGACTGAATAGCCGAGAAGTAGAGGCAGACAGAAATAAAGATTCAAGAGAGGAATATGGGAGGTAAGTTAAAAAAAAAAAAGCATAGCAACCTGTTGTGGCCAGCAGGAGCCGTTGGA